AGAGCGTCAGGATTTAACACTATTACTACTCCTTAACAAAATCGCAAGGCAGATAATTTCAGTATTACATCATCCTCAATTCAGCAGAACCCACAAACATTTGACTTTTCCCTGTATAAAAACTGAATCTTGGGCCAGCAAGTAGCTCAGTAGTTCAATCCCCAAGACCTACATGGTAGAAGAAGAGAGAGCCAACTCCTGTGAGTTGTCTTCTAAAACCATGTGTGTACCATGGCAAGTGTCTTTATTCACACACAATAAATAAATAAAGCAAAAATGTGACTATATTCATTAAAGTCACTGTTCCTTTGTACTTCCATATTGCTCCTTAAACATGAAATTTACTAATGTTTCTAACATGCCACCTATGGGCCTCTGGACAAAAGATGGACAGAACTACCAAATATATTGCCTTAGTTTGCTTTTGATTGCAAAGACACCATAATGAAAAGCAACTTGGGGAGGAAAGGGTTTATTTGGCTTACACTTCCTCATCACAGTCCATTATTCAGGGAAGTTAACAAAGGAACACAATTAGAAGAGGAATCTGGAGGCAGAAAATTAAGTAGAGACCACAGAGGGACCTGATTACTGGCTTGCTCCTCATAGCTTGCTCTTCATGCTTTCTCATGCCTTGGAGGACTACCTGTCCAGAGGTAGAATTGCCCACACAGTACACTGTACCCTCTATTAGCAATCAAGAAAATGCCCCACAGGTATTATGATTGAGGTATTTTCTCAATTGAGGTTCTTCTCATTTAACCTCAGTCTGTGTCAGAGTGACACACACACACACACACACACACACACACACACAAGCCAGGACATATATCCAGTAAATATTTTATTCATAATCAACAACCCAGTGAAAATCTTAATGGCCTCCGAATGGACTAGAATCATTTTATCATGTGAGTCAGGTGCACCTATCTTGAGTCAAAAAAGAAAAAAATAAATTAATTAAAATAGCCCATCACAACAAAGCTAAAACATTGCTTTATAAATCATTTAAATTGCAATTTTTAGCTTTTGGTCATAAATGTCTTTAAAATATACCCACAATGCATTCCTACATCAGAAGAGTCCACAAACAGTGATTAACTAAAATCCAAAAGTTTTACATCAGATGGTCACTGAGAGAGTCTCTACTCCTTACCTAGGATGGATGGATGGGTCCTTAGACTAAGTGAAGTCCATCTTGGACACAGCTGTGTCTAGGAATCTGAGTCACACACTAATTATTTAGTACTAGCTGGAGAAAAATGTCAGACTGACAGACTGACATTTGAGAGAACTATAGTTTGGCAGAATCTGTTAAGATGATGGTTTACAATGATAAGGAAACATATAATGTGGACAGCATGAATGGTGATTACTCTGTGGGTCAGATTTGTTTTCATAGCTGTAGGTCTGTCTGACACACACACACACACACACACACACACACACACACACACATATGAATATGCATATATAACATATTCATATAGGATATGAATATGCTATGCTTTTATTCATAAGTCATATAAAGTTGTACTAAATTGAAAAGAAGAAAAAAGGAGCTGAATGGTGGTGGCACATGCCTTTATTTCCAGCACTGAGGAGGCAGAGGCAGAGGCAGTCAGATCTCTGTTAGTTCAAAGTCAGCCTGGTCTATGGATCAAGTTCCAGGACAGGATCCAAAGCAATCAGGGAAACCCTATCTCGAAAAACCAAAAAAAAATCTGGCCTATAAATGTTCATCATTTTATATAGTTGAGAAGTACACCAACTCCTATTTGTGAAAAATAACATTCTATGATAAATTTATAATTTCCAAGAGAAAGAACCCAAGTTTAAAAACAAGAGAAAAGCTGCAGTAGATGAACCCAAGGGTAAACCTGTTTTTGATAGAAACAAGGTAGCCAACTGAAATTTGAAACTAGAGACAGAACTAATATGACATACAGGAAGACTCAAAAAGAACAAATTAATACACAATATACAATATACAATGGATGAAGTGAGCAAGAATACCCACCAACACTTAGTATAAAATGGCCAGAATAGAATGAGGTCTTTGTTACCATTCATGTTACAACTTAGAAAAATAGAGATATTAAGTTTCTACTTGGCTAGAAGATGAAATGCACCCAGCAGTTCGAATGAGGCCTCTGGAAAAGCATTCAACACATTGCTCTGGGTTCCTTTCCTTGATGCACTTTCCTGACTAAACAGTGTTCCCTATATGCTGTGCACAGAACTAGCAGCAGACTGGTTAAAAACAGCTTGCATTTTCAACTTCCCGTAATAGAGGCCACATTTTTTAGAAATGATCAGATTAAAATAAATATGTCTTTACAGTTACAGGATAAAATTTTAAGCTGGACAGGCACCAATGCCCTGGTTCTTCACTCTTTTTCATAAACCATATGACTTTCACATGCTGAGAATGTTTTATGCTTTAGCCTGCAGTAAAGGCTTTACATCATTTTAATGCCCCTGTGCTCAAAAAGCAACAGAATCAGCCTGGTGAATGCAAGAAATACTTGGTGTACATGGAGTCATTTTTTTTTTTTTTTTTACCAGACTACTCGTCAGAAAAAGTTTAACAAATGCTTTTCCCATAAATAACTTCACATATCCATTGATGAAAATAAACAAAAAGAAGATATGAGGAAAGGGTAGATGAAAAACACTCATTTTTCTAGATTGGAGCGTTCCAGTTTGACATGTCTAAAATGACTATTAAACACTTAAAAATTCCATGACTATCAGAACACATTTCATAAAAACACAAGTAAGCAGCTATTATACTGTTCCATGGAATTTTCTCCCAGTTTTTGAAAATTAATGTTTCAGGTTAAGGTAAGGCTTAAAACAAGCAATTCTGAAAATCCCTGTCTTCAACAAACCAAAGGCAGAGCTTGGCATAGCACATTCAGTATACGAAATTCTATTCAGGTCAATTTAAATAGAAAATGCTCAACTTCATGCTAACAGTCCCCTTATCTGTGTGAATAATCAACAGCAAAAATTTCAAAACAAAGGCTAAACCTACCACAAAATCCCAGTGCATCTATGTTGCTTTCAGATGCTATGGAATCTAAAAGCCCCTTCCTGATAGATGAAACATTTAAGAACTGATACATTTTGACCAAATATACAAATACGTTAAATTCTCAAGTCAAATAGAAATGATACCAATTATTCTTTTGGTTATTTAAAAGTCTGTAATACAACAAAATTAACACAGTCACTGAAGAAGTTGTATTTTGGACTGAGGGAGTACAAAATGTATGATCTTAAATTCTCCTGGTGTAAGGTCATTAAATATTCAAGACTGTGAGAAACAAGAGATGTTTCATTCCAACTCTAATTTGAAAATTGAAAAATAAAATCAGATTTTCTAAACTTGACTTATAAGCATAATTCAACCAGATCTAGCAACTTAGTTGTGCAATTTTAATAAGTCTAATGCAAAGCACTAGAAACCTGATGTGATAATTACTTGTGGCATAAATGCGAAATAACAACAAATTCGGGTTCTTTTCACTTAATGATGCATTTTATAGTGAAACCACAAAAAGCACAACCCATATTAGCACAAAGTAAGCAAAATTTTAAAAAAAGCACAGGAGGTATTATTATGTCCATCAGGAAGAGAAATGTTCTGTGCCAAGGAAGGAAGGAAGGAGGGGGAGGAGGAAGAAAGGGAAGAGAAGATAGGAAAGGAGTAGGCGAAGGTTTCCATTATCTGTAGGTCCCCAGAAAAAGCAGCACGTGACTGTACCCTACACAACACACAAGGTCTTTTTTTTTAAGCATCCGACAACATAGCAATCACTTTTATCCTTCAACTTTACATGGCATGTATCTTTACTGCTAAGTGAATTCTTTGCTTCACTTACCCATGCTTCCTCACTCTTCCATACCAGTTTTCAAGCAAATGTGAGACAGAACAGGGTGGGGTAGAAGAAAAATAGATGCAGCGCCTTCCAGCGCACCACCAACCCTCTTCCCCGAAAATAATTTCCAACAGTTTTTTCAACTACGAAAATAAGTCGCCCTATCTACCTTAGGGCACACAGCAGACATTCTGTCTCATTAGTAGACACAGATGCATATGCCATTTAGCACTCCAGACTCCCAACCCCACGTCCCCGAATTTTAAATAATTGGCAAGCAAGCCACTGAGCATGAAGATGACAAGATACCTTTACTTACTGTTTCGGGGTAAAGGTGGGCAGAGGACTCCTTTCAAAGTAGCCCCAATAGTGTAACCAAAACACGGTTCCGGAATAAAATATTAAGAGACACTTTTCCTTTCCCACCTTTAGCTGCGGACTTGAGGAGGCAAAATGCATCTCCACATCACATCATTTGTACAGTCCTGCCGTCGGGAGTTTGGGGTGGAGATTGGCCCAGAAGAGGGCACGGAGTGTGAGCTAGCCACCAGACACGAATGAGTTGCCGAACCCCCAAAAGCCTGCACAAGGTCCACAGAGCAAAAGTCCAGCCCGGGACTCACGCATGCTTCCCAAGCCCAGGCCGCTTATCTTCGACTATCTAACTTACCATCTACAGACATTCCTTCAAGACGAGCCCAGCACCCGAGTACACGTCACAGTTTAAAACAGCGAGACACTCCCCAAACAAACCAGCACACCTCGAAACCACCTCACAGTTGCTCAAACTCGCAAGCAGGAAGACCCCACCTCCAGAATTCAAACCTTCCGCCGGTCCTGGAGACCAGGGAGAAGTTAGGGAGCCGCCGTCGCCTCTCTGCGCCAGCCCCTCACAAACTGCCCCACCCCACAGCCCGCGCACCGCCGCCCCCTCGGGAGCCCCCTTCTCCCTCACTTGCTCCCTCCCCAACACAGCCACTCCACAGACCCATCTGTGGCGCCTACTCACTTTCTCTCCCCCCAAACCCCTCCAAAACATTTTTTCCCCTTAAAGTAATGAAAGAAGTGAGGAAAGAACTTAAGGCAGTCCGGGTCGCAAACGACCCCACTCACCTCGGAAACCCAGATGAGTTCTCTGCACCCGGGCTCAGCCCCCTCCCCAGCGTCCCAGAGCAAGGCTGAGGGAGGGAGGGAGGAGGAAAACGGGAGGGGGAGGGGATCTGCACCGCGGGGCGCCCTGCGGGAGGGGCTGAGGAGGGCTCCAGGCCCGCGCAGGAAGAGCAGAGGGGGGAGGGTAGCCCTCTGTCTCTCAGTCTCCCCCTGAAAACCTCGCTTGTCTCAATCACATCAGACTGACTGTCTTTGTCTGGCTGACAACCGCCATATTGATAGCAACAGCCCCGCTCCCACCTGCTGCCGCCGGGCATCCCTGGGAGTTGTAGTTTCCGTTTCCCTAGAGGAAAAGTGCAGAGCTAGGGGTCCGAGGCCCCAGGGAACTACAGCTTCCAGAAGGCACTGCGCCCATACGCCTTCCCACAGGGAAGGGGGAGCCGGGAACTGGAGCAGTGTGGACTACATATCCCAGAATAACAAGGATTTCAGATCGGGAAGGGGGTGGGGGTCATGATATCATTCAGGGATGGAAAGGAAGGATGAATTGGCGGCGGCGACGAATTTAAGGGGGCAGAAGGAGGCGTTTAAAGAGAACAGGGAGGAAAAGGAAAGACGGTCACAGCTCCCATAATTCCTTCAGTAAAACTACATTTCCCGTGATGCTCCGGAAAGTGCGTGAGAAAGGAAAACTTCAACTCCCGCGATGCTCTCTGTGGCGGAGATTGAACCGGAAAACGCTTCCCTGCTTTGAGAAGTGAAGAGAGTGGTGCTTAACAACCAAAACTCCAATATGAAACTGGTGAGTTTCCTCTCCTAAGTCAGAGGGCAAAGATAATGCCCTCTGGATTCTGTGGCCTCCACCATGACTTGTCGCGGAGGTAGGTCAGCAGTTAGAAAACTAAAGTGAGGTGAACTGTGGCGAGCTGGGTTTTGCAGTTGAGATTTGAATTCCCTCTTGCATACACACCACACTCCCTGTCAGGATGTCATTCATTACTGTTTGGTAGGCCCCTTTGGCCAAACATGAAGCTGAATATTACATTTCTTCATCCTCGAGGAAACTCTAAAACTTTTGTTTGGTCGTGTTTCTCGGCTCCCACCTGAGAGTTATAATGGGTCATCCCCTCTTTCCACTTGATAAGCTCTTCAGTGGATTCCCTACTGATGTTGCAAAGCCGGACTTAGGCATTGCTCATTAAATGTCCTGCTACATCCTAACTGCCTTTCGAATTAAGAGAAAGCGGTGCTAGAGGGTGCTCGTGAAGGATTTAGCCAGAGCAGTGTTGAAGCATTCCAGTTTAGGGCCTGCGCGAAATAAACAGCTCTAGGTGGATGGAACACGCTTTCTGGAGAAGTCACTGTGTGGCAAGAGTTAGGCAGACTTCTCAGATCTTTGCTTTGAGCCATTTTATTGAGCACACCATTCTAACAGGTTGTTTTATTCAAGTGTAATGGGATAATTGATAGAGTTGGACATTATCTACAGGGAGATAAATGTCCTCAATGTAAGGCATATTTGGTTGGTTCGGTTTGAGAAGGAAGTGGTGTGCAAATGTTTATCCCAGAACAATTTTTATGAGGGTATCAGAGTTTATGTTTTTTTTTTTTTTTGCTTCACTCATAAAATCCTATTGCTTGATTTATATGTAAGGTTAAAATGGGAAAGGAACAAATGAAAAATTAGCCTTTTGCTTTCAGAATCAAAAGCTGACACCAAGGAAAGGAAGAGTTCTAATTAACACTCCCTCTCTCTTCGATTTCAAACCAAGTGTAGATTTCCATAATTAATCCAAGTGACCTTTAATGCAGAATTACTGTACATACACCAAAGTGATTTCAAAAAATAGTTTCTCAATAGGTTAAATTTGTGTGCTGTGGCTACCAACGGGTTTTAATAAATTTCTCATGCCCTTAAGTTTTAACTCTGTGCACTGCTTTAGGAATGTGGAGTTAGCTGTGGTGTTTTGTTTTGTTTTGTTTTTTAGATATCTTAGGGGCTAAGGATGCAAGTCAGTGGCAGCAGGCTTCTCTAGACTGCACGATACATTCTTTGGGTTTGGTCTTCAGCATGGAGATAATGAGTTATGTCATGAAACATGCACACTTTAGTCAACACATTCATTTTGGTTGGTTGGTTGGTTGTTTTTTTTTTGTTTGTTTGTTTGTTTGGTTTTTTTTTTTTTTTTTTTTTGGCTTTTCGAGACAGGGTTTCTCTGTGTAGCTTTGGAGCCTATCCTGGCACTCGCTCTGGAGACCAGGCTGGCCTCGAACTCACAGAGATCCGCCTGCCTCTGCCTCTGCCTCCCAAGTTCTGGGTTTAAAGGCTTGTGTCACCAACGCCTGGCTCACATTCATGTCTTTGAAATGAGACTTCCCAACGTGCTCTCCCCTCCCACATGGCTCATGGGGTATAGCCACTTCTCTCATCAATTGTTTTCCCCTAATATGATGCTGTTCCCTTAATGAAAATTTCCTGAAAGGTCTTTTTTCTGCCTTCTTACTAATACTGCTTTTGAGGTAGTTTGTTTCACTTGCCACTGGAATTCAATAAGCCCTTCTGCCCTGGTTGGTTTTTGTTTTTTTTGTTTTTTTTTTAATCTGAGAAGAGGACCCTCAATTGAGGAAATGCCTCTATTGATTCTGTAGAGCATTTTTCTGATGGATGTTTGATGTGGATGGGCACAGCCCACAGTTGTGGTGTTATTCCTGTGCAAATGTTCCTGAAGCTGATAAGAAAGCAAGCTCAGCAAGCCATGGGGAGCTAGTAGTTAGTTGTTACTCAATAGCCTCTGTTTCAGTTCCTGCCTCCAGGGCCCTGTTTGAGTTCCTGCCCTGACTTCCCTGCATGACAGACTGTGGTCAGAATGCATAAGCCAATTAAACCCTTTCCTTCCTTTAGGCATGGTGGGTGTTTTTGTTGTGTTTTGTTTGTTTTTTTTTCCTTTTCTTTGTGGTTTTTTGGTTTGCTTGTTTGTTTGTTTCAAGACAGAATTTCTCTGTGTGACCCTAGCTGTCCTGGAACTAGCTCTGTAGACCACAGAGATCCTCCTGCCTCTGCCTCCTGAGTGTTGGGGTTAAAGGTGTGTGCCACTACATTTAGCAAACTAGAACACCTTCTAAACTGCCTCCCTACATTCAGTCTTAACCTCTCAGAAGAGTTTATTCTCTTCTGAGGAATCTCAAAATTGTTTTTCATTTGCAGAATCCTGTAAGATTCACCTGAGTAGCTTCTTTTGCCCTTCAGATAAACTCACAGTCTTTAACTTGGTTAACTTGGCCCTGGAGAATATGGTCCTGCTTATGTCTCTGCATGTAGTCTAACAAGCCTTCACCATTGATGTCTTCAGAACGCATAGGTGGTTTTCCAGTTCTTTGAGTCCACTGTTTTTCTCTGTCTCTGGGAATTTAAGTGTGTTCAATTGCCTACAATATTTTGCCTTTTCTTACTTAATGTCTTCACATATTTCAGGACACTGTTTGAATAACAGTTTTTCAAGTTTCTTAAATCAGACCACCCTGATACGTGTTTTCGTGGCATACCTCCTGTTTGTTGGACTTACAGTTATTTCTTTGTATTTGTCCCCCCTAATGTAGACATTGTATTCCCAGAGACTTAAGACATACTTTGACTTCACTACTACATGAATAATTTCCCAAAGGTCTGTGCAAATGCTGGGAAAGGGCTAAAGGGTGAATTTGAGATTATAATAAACAATAACCTGAGTAAAAAAATAATAATTAGCTTCTACTATTTAAAAAGGGTTTTTTTATTTTGTGTGTGTGTGGGGGGGGGGGGTTTTGCCTGTTAAGTCTACACACTAGTTGCATGCACCAGAAGAGGACACTGGATCCCCTGGAGCTGGAGCTGTAGATGGTTGTGAACCAACTGATGGGTTCTGAGAGCTCAACCCAGGTCTTCTGCAAGAGTAAGGAGTGCTCTTAACCCCTGAGCCACCTCTCCAGCCCTGATTGCTGCCTTTTACAGAGCAAGCACTGTGTGACAGGCAGTGCACTAAGTGTTGGCACAATACACATTTTGATCTAGGTGATAGAATTCCATTTTACAAATTAAAAATGTGAGTTTCTGGGAAGTGAAGGAAGAGACTCCAAGTTAAACAAATTAAAAGTGAAAGAGCAGGGTCTGAATCCATGTCTCTCTGGTTTAAGAGTCCGATGCTTAGTGGGGGCACAGTCAGAAGCACCGTTCCCAGTGGCATCACAGTGCTATGTCAACTCTTAGAGGAGTGCAAACTGAGATACGTTAAATTTAAATTGCAGTTTGTTTAGGTTGCAATCTTTAAAAGCATTATTGGCGTTGAGCATGGTAGCACACATCTGTAATCCTGTCACTGCAAAGGCAAAGGCAGAGGGATCTCAAGTTTCAGACCAGCCTGAGACACCATCTTTTAAACTTATTCAAAAACTAGTCAAGCTTTTTAAAACCTCCTTTGTAAACCAGGCATCACATGCCTTTAATCCCAGCACTCAGGAGGCAGACACAGGCGGATCTCTGTGAGTTCGAGGCCAGCCTGGTCTCCAGAGCAAGTGCCAGGATAAGCTCCAGGCTACACAGAGAAACCCTGTCTCAACCCCCCCCCAAAAAAAAAGAAAAAAAATGAGTAAAAATGCATTTTATTATTTTTGTGTGTATGAGTGTTTTTCCCCATACATGTCTGTGCACCATGTGCATGCCTGGTACTGAGTAGGACAGAAGAGAGTATTCAATCCCCAGGAACTGGGTTTATAAACAGTGTGAGCTGTCATGGTGCTGGTAGTCAAACCCAGGTCAGGTCTTCTGGAAGAGCAACAGTGCTCTAACCACTGGGCAATCTCTCCAGCTTCTTTAACACGAACACTTAAGACATTGAGTGCCATTATAATATCTGAAAAGTTCCTAACTGGAAGGATTTAATGACTGCCAATATTTATAATATTATACATTGTTCTGGCAGCTTTGTTTAACAAAATAAATTCATTGGTATTTCCAATTAATCACTTTAGGAGAGATAAGAAAAATTGGAAATATAACTTCTAAATTGACACATTTTAGAGCACAATTACTTTTTAGTATAGGTTGAACCTAATAGGTACACCCTAGGGGTCAATTTAGCTAATATGGGAAGAAGTCATCAAAGTCTTTAGCAAATGGCCATACAATGTACTGAGCAGACCGACATCAAGTGAGCTGGAAGCACAATGGCCAGGCATCTGGTCATTCAAGTGAGTGAAGATGAAAGTGAATGAACATGTGTGAGGTTCAGGAACGCAGTATTCTTCCAGCTTGCCCAGTCCACAGATGTTTATTATGCAGCCACAGTATA